TATTCTGGAACTGTTCGGAGGCCTGAAACTCGGAGAGCGCTTTCTTGGCTCCTTGTTTGGCTGCTTCTTCGCATTCTTGTGCATGCAAGGACTGCAGCTCGGAGAAGGCTTTCTGGATGGCCCACAGGGCAGCCCTAGCTTCGTCAGCCTCACGCGTAAGACTGGCCTGAGAATGATTGGCTGCGTGGAGTGCTCTGATGGTCTTGGCGAGCCCCTTCAAAATAGACAAGCGAAAATGTGAGGGGTTTCAGGGATAAACACAATCCACGTCAAGACGTGATCAACCTACCTCAATATGTGACCGGATAGAACCCTCCAAGAGGGGATGAAACTCTTGGGAAGTCGTACAGGTGAGGTCGCCTAGTGGGAGGATTGATGAAGCATAATCCACGACCGGGAAGCCTTCATGCATAATCGAGGCACTCGAAGATGGGGAGGCGTAAGTAACTGTATGCTGGGTGTCATGGCTGATTCGTTCGACCATCCTCTCCTCTGCACCCTCATGTACCTGCTTAGCGGAATGAAACTTGGAGGCGACCTTGGCCTTCTTCGAGACTAGTTCCCCTCGGCCCGGGGAGGAGGCTCCGCGCTCTTTCCCTGCAACCGTATTGGGGGCCACATCAGCAACGGCGGGGCAAGGCTCCTCCTCATCCTCCTCATCGGACCCATCCAATTTGACTAGCAAGTCGACGAGTCCGCCCTTGTGCTTCTCCTGCACTGGCGTAGTTGGCCGAGGTCCGAAGGTAACTCTCACCCTTCTTGGAGGGGGGCTCTGTGCCCTTTCCCCTTTGCACCCATTGCTGCCACAGGAACGATGACTTGTTGAGGCTCCTCCTTTTCATCGGATTCCGCCTCAACAACGAGCTTCTCAGGCACAACTGCGGAAGAAAAATGTGAGGATAAGCAGAATAAAATACAAAGTAGCAAACATAGACCAGGGAGATGACAATCACCTAAATATGAGCTGATGGAGTGGGGACCGCCTGCGGACAATATCTCGATGGAGGACTTGAGACCAGGGGAGAGAGCGACTCGGTCACACTTCCGAACCCGTTCACCCCACTGAGGCAGAGGTGACGGGAGGTTGGGGTCGGATACCCATATCCATCTCTTCTTCCACCCTTTCCCTGAACGGGGTAATCCGACCGAAACAGTTTGCTCACCGGCCTCTGGGAGAGTAAGGCGAAAAAGCTAGAAGCACGCCACTGGAAGCAGCTGAAAAACAGATCAATCGTGGGTGTGAGGCCCACATCCTCACACCGCGCCACAAAAGCGGCAACGAACATGTGAGCCGCCGGATCCAATTGACCTGGGGCCACACCCAGAAAGTGAAGGAACCGAATCAGGAAGGGGTGCAGTGGCACGGCCATCCCTAACTCCAGAGAGCGGATATGGACCCCGAAGTAGGGAGTTGGTGGATTGCTCAATATGTAGGTAGCCCCCGGAGATTCCAACAAACAATCATGGCCAATCAAACTGTATGCAACAGCAAGGTCCTCGTCTTGGATACGAGGGGGGAGGTTCGCTATCCCGCTATTATCAAGGTCCCACCAAAGATTCGGGTCCTCCCGAGCACCAGAGTCATCATCGAAATCTGACATGACCACATGTTGTGCCCGCGCTCTATCTGGAACGCTCAGTTTCCGACCCTCAGCAGTAGTGGTCCGCCTAGCTGGAGCCATCTCCGGGAGAACATCAAACCTGCAAAGACAAAAAAGAGAGAAATAACAAAACGTCAAACTGCAGGCTAACATGGACGGCGTCATCAAAGGGTGGACCCGCCTTGGCCGCCTAGTGGTAGTTGCCGGCTTCTTGAGCTACACCTGCCGGCAGAGGGGCGGCCGCCAGCCCCTAACCCAAACTGTCTGGCCAAGGTGAAGCCGAGCACCGGAAGAACTGCTCACGTGAGGCACCATACAGTGGCCTGCAACAAACTGCCGTCAAACTCATGGGGAAAGCTGGGTGCTTACCCCAACTCCAGCCTTCTATTCCATCAAAACCAGGGGATCGATGCCCAGTCTAGGTACGCATGGAAATTAAAGACAGAAGAAACATGCAGCGGCGGCTCGCCGGACAATGCGGAACCCCAGGGAGTAGAGACTCCAGCCGGGGCATCCAGTCCAGGACTCCGACCTTGGACCCGCCACCGCCGGGTGGCTGCCGGGTTGGAAGCTACATCCACAACCTTGGAAGCCGCACTACCGGCCGGGGCGCCAACCTGCTGGGTTTGATATTGGCCTGCCACGCATCGGAGCGAAAACTCGCCGAACAACGCGAGGGGCGAAGAACACCAGCCTGGAAGCATCTTTCTGTCTGGGGATCTGTCTGTCGTGGCCTGAGAGCCTTGGCTGCCTGGAGATCTGTCTGTCGTAGCCGTGGTACCGTAGCTGGCGGCCTTGGAATTTGACTTCCAAGAATATCCATCCATGGGAAGTAGGATGAAGACCCTGGCAGTCCGATTTTGGAGGTCCAAAACACCCTTAGAGCCCAGCCGCCAACGATGTACCACGAACGCCCGGTAGACTGGTACTCCAAGATATTGGGGTTTCATCTCAACAGGACCGCTAGCTTCCTGGAGGATAACGTCCGGCGGAGGAGCAACACGGCGGCAAACAGCCTGGCCACCTGAGAGAAGGACATCATCCGGCTGAGGGGCGCCTAGCTACCTGTCCCCTTAATGATGCCGGCCAGAGGTGGAACGACGACTGCCAGCCCCTGTAAATTGCGCCGACCAACATAGAGGTCTAGGCTGGCCGGCCGGCCAGATTCGCCGGACTGGCGGGCGACGTCGGCAACTGGTGACCAACACAGGACGTCCGCCTGGAACGGCAGGACGACACAGTGGAGCTACCGGGCGGCGGTCAACCAACTCGGCGGGGGACTGCGGCACTGGGGCGACTCGAAGAAGACGCGCGCGCAGGTCACAGGAGAGAGAGGAAAGAAAAGAAAAGGATAGAAAAAAGAAAGGAAAGAAAAGAAAAGGAAAGAAAAAAGAAGGAAAGAAAAGAAAAGAAAAAGGAAGGAAAGAAAAGAAAAGGAAAGAAAAGAAAAGGAAGGAAAAATAAAGTCAGAAAATAATTTATGAAATAATAATAATGAATTTCAGGGATTTTTCGAAGCTCACCTGGATCCTGAAGTCTGGGAGAAAGCTTGCTGCTGGAATGCTAGAACGCTAAGGGAATTAAATCGAAGCTTTTTAAAGCTGGGCGCCTTATTCAAAATTTGGAAATCTCCATAAATTGTGGGATTGACAGAATCCACAATTATGGCTCCCTGATATGTGAATATTTTTTAATTGGCAGCAAACTTGAACTACTCCCTCTTAGCCGAGTCTACTACTTGACTTAAGGAGTGGGGGGCTCGTGATGGGGTTATGGGACTAGGCCCAGAGCCTAATCGGCCCAGGCCCCGAACTTGGACCAGCAGGCCCAAGCCCAGCAACCAAGAGCTCGAGTCGGCCCAACCGATCAGGGCAATCAAGGAGCGGAAGCCCAAGAGAGCCTGTCGATAGATGGTCAGATCTAAGATAACGAACAGTATCGACCAGACACTAGTGGAAAAATGTCAAACAGAGGCGCTTCATCGTAGGCACTTTTCAGTACAAGCGCCTTTGTTAGGTGAAATTATTGATTTTTTGTTTTGAAACACGCGCGCGGCGCTTTTTACACTTAAACGCCTCCAATTTTTAAAAGTTCATCTCGCGTGCGGCGCTTCTCTAATTAAAACGCCTCCAATTGTATTTTTGGATATATTTTTTTTAAAATCCAATAGCGTGCGGCGCTTCTAAAACAAAAGCGCCTCCAATTGTAGTTTCGTTTTTTTAATTTTTAAAACCGCAGGCGTGCGACGATTGTTAATTAAAAACGCCTCTAAATTTTTTAACCTAGCATCATCGTATCCAATCGTTAACCCTATCACACCAACACAAGTTATGCGCACGCAGCAGCGGCCAACCTGCAACTCACTCCTCTGGCCGCCCATCCGAACATGCCGAACTGCGACCAACACAATGTTTAGACCGTCGGACGCTTGCTGCCACCAAACTGCGACCAACGCGACGACTGAGGTGTGCCGAGGAGCCACCGAGATTGTTTTCATTGTACTCACAAACGTCCGTAGCCGCTGGTTTGCCTCCCGCAGTCCAGCCATCCTCTGTTGAACTTAGCCGCCACCGGCGGGTCTCCCAAAGTAGGTCAGAAAGCTACTACCATCTTTAATCCTTTACTAGTATTATACCCGTGCGATGCACGGGACAAAAATATTTTAATACTTATTTATGATATGGTACATATTGAAATATCCATGTAAAATATATTATTTTTAAGAGTATTATTTATGATAAATGTTCTCAGATCAGTTGTTATTTTAGACGTCACATTTATAGGTTTTCATATCTATTTAAATAAATACCGAAAACTAATACATAGTACATGACAATTTAAACATCACACATTAAAAAATACATTCATAACTTCACAATTATCATTGATTAACTCATTATATTATATACATACTCATATTACTTTAAAATATACTCGAATTATCTTGCTTAATTTTCTCTAATTGTGGTGTTTTTGAAGGAGAATTTTAAATTGGAACAAAGGTATTACTACGTACTACTTAGGATATAGGAAGAGCATTTATGATTGGCGTATATGATTTGTTTTTTCTTTTTTTTTATGGTAGCGTATATGATTTGTTGATAGCGTCTTTTGGTTTGTTTAAAAATATAAACGAATTATAAAATTCTTTTGTTGAAACACCTCATCTAATACACACACATATGTAAATTTGTGGAAAAAATCAAAGAAAACACGTTAAAACATTGTAAATCGTATTCTCACCATTCGTAAGAGGCTGTCTCTTACTGTTTTTCTTTTAATTATTTTTTACTGAATCTAATAATAATAATAATAATAATAATAATAATAATAATAATAATAATTTTTTTATCAACATATATATTTCAGCAGATCAGACCATTCTAATTTTAAAGGAAAATTTGGACTACCCATTATCAACTCAGGCCCATACATATGTTTCGGCCCTATTATTTCATACGGAGTAGTACACAAATATATTGCTCACTCAAAATCTAGAAGTCTCGACTCTCTACTCGATACACCGACAAATGATCGAACCCATTGTTGGCTTCCCTCAACGTTCAAACATATAAAGGCTGATGTGCCTCCCCGTCCGGACATAAACATTCTGAAAGCATCTCGCTTTTGATTGACAAATTATCTCCGTTAGACCGACCTCCCCTTCCCCGTCTCCCCATCAGATTGGACGCTGTCTCCATAGACCGATCTACCGATCTTTATGAGGTTTGCTGATGCATTTAATATCATTTCCTAATCTTTTTTCGAATTTAAAGTTGTTTGTTCTAAATTATTTTCCTTTTTCCAGTAGCTAAATGATATACAGAACATATGAAACTTTGAGGGCCTTGTATGATGTGAGTTGTCTTTTCTTTTTTTAGCCGCAAATTATGTGTTTTATCGATGCTATGGATATTTAGTGTTTTCAATCATATTGGATGTGTTTGTTCCCTGTTTTTTTCCTCTATCGTATAATCATCGCATCACTCGATTTGTCTTCATCTAGGGCCAGTGGCGGAATCAGGACTCGTGACTCGCAGGGGCACAATAACAAAGAAATGATATACTAGTCTAGAAAAAAATTATATGCATCACGAGTATAGCAATAAACAAAACTATAAAATTTAAATAAAACCACTGTTATTGAAATGATCTGTTGCATCCATTAAAATCACTTTGTGGAAATTTAAAGTCACGCGGTTGGCAAGGACCTTTTCTCAAATAACGTCTCATCAACTCATCTCTAATATTAACATCATAAGTCTCAATCAGCATAACTTTTCTGTCCAGCACTTTTCTGTCCGAACGCCGTCTGAACACCGGCGTTTGGGGCGGTTCCCGGCGGAATATTTTGACGAAATTTTTTGAGCATGTTCCTCATCAAGTCTAGTTTATCCATACCAAACTTCAGCTCAAAATTCGATCGGGAAGACAGTCAAATAATTCGTTTAAGTTAACTGCGCCAAATTATATATAGAAAAACGCAGTTCACTTCAACGAATTATTTGACTGCCTCCACGGTCGAATTTTGACCTGAAATTCGGTATGGATAAACTAGACTTGATGAGGAACATGCTCAAAATATTTCATCAAAAAATTCCACCCGGAAGCGCCCCAAACGGCGGTGTTTGGACAGCGTTCGGACCGGGAAGTGCTGGACCTGAGAATTTTCCAATATATATATATATATAAATCACCGCAGGGGCACGGGCACCCCCTAGCCCTAGGGTGGGTCCGCCCCTGTCTAGGGCTGAAGTTATAACAACAAATCATGTGGTTATAACTTTAAATTTAGCAACAATCTAAGCTTTTATTATTAAATTAAAAAACAATGTAGCTACCACCACCACTACCACCACCACTACCACCACCACTATCACCACCTAGGGGTGGATTCGGTTCGGGCCACCCGGCCCGTGACCCGGCCCGTGACCCGGCCCGGCCCGGTACTGTGCGGATCCGGGACCGGCCCGGTCGGGCGGTCCGGGACCGGGTATGGACCCGAACCGGTGGGAAGGGGCGGGGCGGGCTCGGTGCTGGATTATTGTGACCCGGCCGGGTCGGGCCCGAGCCCGGGTCCGGGTCTAATTTAAAAAAAAAAATTGGTTTGGGGCCTTTGGGCTACTAGCCGTTGGGGGTGGGGGTGGGGACAACCCAAACGGCTATATAGCCGTTGGGTGGGGTAAAGGGGGGGGGGGGTCCGGGGGTTGGCTGGTGGGGGGTGGTGGGGGGGGTGGGGGTAAAAAACCCTATAAATACTCCTAATCTTAAACATTTTTTCATATCTCTTCTCCAATTCTTCCTAAATCCTATTCTTAACTCTCTACTCTCTAATTCTCTTATTCTCCATTCTCCAATATATTATATTTATTATTTATAGTTTATATTAATTATCTACTTATATAAACTATAAATAGATATAAATAGTATTATATTACTTATATTTGTTATCTAATTATATATTACTTATATATTTATTATATCTATTAATATAGTTGGAATTATATCTAATTAATTTGAAGTCATTCTATTACTCCCATCCGAAAGACCGAAAGTCCGAAAGAGGTACGAAATTATTCTATTATTTACACTTGTTTAATTACTAGTTAATTTGCTACATTTGACTCTTGTTTAATAGTTAGATAAATAGTTAATTAGTTTTTTACAATTTTTTATTAATTGCTACATTTGACTCTAGTTTAAAAAATATGTTGTACACAAAACTAGTTAATTCACTACTTAATTTGCTATAACTCGAATTAATAGTTAGATAAATAGTTAATTAGTTTTTTACAATTTTTTATTAATGGCTACATTTGACTCTAGTTTAAAAAATATGTTGTACACAAAACTAGTTAATTCACTACTTAATTTGCTATAACTCGAATTAATAGTTAGATAAATAGTTAGTTAGTTTTTTACAATTTTTTATTAATTGCTACATTTGACTAGTTTAAAAAATATGTTGTACACAAAACTAGTTAATTCACTACTTAATTTGCTATAACTCGAATTAATAGTTAGATAAATAGTTAATTAGTTTTTTACAATTTTTTATTAATTGCTACATTTGACTCTAGTTTAAAAAATATGTTGTACACAAAACTAGTTAATTCACTACTTAATTTGCTATAACTCGAATTAATAGTTAGATAAATAGTTAATTAGTTTTTTACAATTTTTTATTAATTGCTACATTTGACTCTAGTTTAAAAAATATGTTGTACACAAAACTAGTTAATTCACTACTTAATTTGCTATAACTCGAATTAATAGTTAGATAAATAGTCAATTAGTTTTTTACAATTTTTTATTAATCGCTACATTTTTTAGATGGATCGTCCTAGATATTCGGTTGATATTGGTAACCTCGAGCGCAACCGAACGAAAGAGCTTGCGAGGAAGAGATCCCGCAAAGGTAAATCACATATCGGCTCTTCATCTCAAAGTCAAGATGATTTTGATACGGGTTACGTAAGGAGGGATGTGGATGCGATGACCGACGAACAACTAGAACAAGAATTGCACCGACATAATTCCCGCTTTTTTCAAGACCAACCGAGGACCATTGACGAAGAAGAGCTCGAGGACGAGGACGACGATGTGGAAGAAGCAATTCCGGAGAGCCACGATGACGAGGAGGAGGAGGGTGGCGGCAGCCATGACGCCGACCAAGCAGCCTCATCCCAAACAGGTACAAAAAAAGTAAATTTGAATTAATGGCTAATAATTTTTATAAGTGGAAGGACCCGAACACCGGGAATTGGACCGCAACTTGCAATTGGTGCAAGAAAAACTATAGCTTGGGGATTTCCGGCGGATACGGATCCGCCACAAGACACCTTAAGTCCAAACACCCGGTGGAGTACGCAAAATTAGGCGGCGGAACGGGGAAACAAACGCAAATATCGAGGTTTGCAAATAACCAACAAGCTTTTGGTAATTTCTCATACAATGATGCACAAAATTTGACAGGTATGGCTAACTTACTTGTTGAAGAAAATTTGCCTTATTTGTTTTCTGAAAGTCTTGCTTTTCGTGATTATGCACAAACTTGTTTAAATCCGCAATATAGAGGTTATAGTCGCAAAACGGTTAAGAAAGAAATTTCAAGGCTTTATGGTGCGGAAAAGGTAAGGTTACAAAATTATTTTGCAAACTTTGATGGACGTGTTACTGTATGTTCTGACATATGGGAGGATACTTATCATAATTTACATTATTTGGGTTTGACCGTACATTATATTGATAATGATTGGCATATGCATAAACGTGTTCTTGCTTTCCGTGAATTTAATGATCGTCACACCGCTGAACATATTTATATTTTGATTGAACGTATTTTAATTGAGTATAATTTAATTGATAAGGTGTTTGCTATTGGTTTTGATAATGCTACTAATAATACTGCTGCTATTCCTAGATTGCGTGAATTGTGTGGTTCTACTTCTTTAATGGGTAGATTTTTTCATCAACGATGTGCATGTCATGTTCTAAATTTATGTGTGCAAGATGGTCTAAAAGCGTTGGGAGCATCGTTGGAGGTAGTCAATGGGGGGATTAGACGTATTTGGGGTAATGGACAACTTAGGAAAAAATGGCATGATTATTTGATAGAAAGAGGTGAGAGATATGTGGCTTTTCCAAAAGATTTGTCTATTCGTTGGAATAGTACCTATAAGTTAATTGGAGTTCTTCTTAGATATAAACAACATTTTCCTGCTTTTATGAAACAATATGATAACTATATTATAAACTCGGCTGAGTCATGTTTATAAACATATCTCAAACCAATTTATTTGTTTATAAACATATCTCAAACCAATTTATTCGTGAAGCTGTTAATCTCGCCGGTGCTTTTTCAAATTTTGAGAATGCTGATTATGTGAGTTATTTTGCTGGTTTTATGAAGGAAAAGTTTTTAAAATATTATTCACATATTCCGCATATTTATGGTATTGCATTTGTTCTCGATCCTCGTTTTAGACTTGGTTCTTTAGAAGAATGTTTGAATTATTATTATGCTGCTTTTTTTGGTCCATTGCCAATGTATGAGGACAACCCAATTGATCCGAAAAAAGAATACAACGAGGTTAGTGATATATTTTATGCATTATTCAATGAGTTTCATGCACAATATGGCAATGCGCCCCCTCCCCCGACACAAACATCATCTAAAGGAAAATCAATTTTCAAATCTACGTTTGCCAATCTTATTAAAAAAACAAAATCAACTCCCGCTACACAACAAAGCACAATAATGAGATTTCTTTGTATTTAACTTATGATGTTGATTTTGAAGAAGATGATGATTTTGACGTACTAAACTGGTGGAAGGGAAAAGAAAGAATGTTCCCGGTTTTAGCAAAGATGGTTAAGCAAGTGCTATCAATGTCGGTTTCAACGGTTGCCGTGGAACAAGAATTTAGTTCGGCCGGCAATGTTCTAACACAAACCAGAACGAGGTTGAGCGCTGAATCTCTTGAGATGCTTATATGCTACCACGATTGGTTGAAAGCAGCACGTAGAGCTCAAGAAATTGACATCACTCCATCCCAACACTTTATGGATGAATCTACAACAGAGGGTGGCTCTACCTATGCCGGAGATTCCGATTAAAAACAATTATAGTTCCTATTTAATTTTCAAATGTAGTTCCTATTTCATTTTAAATAAATGCACTTGAAGTTTGTTTTTTAATACTTGTATAAAACTATAAAGTATAAAATATAAATTAAAAAAAAAATATTTAACCGGCCCGGCCCGGCCCGGCCCGGCGGGTGGCCCGACCCGTGACCCGGGCGGGTGGCCCGGCCCGAACCGGACCCGTCCAACCCTCGGGCCGGTCCCGGGCCCACTATTCTTGAACCGGCGGCCCGACCGGGCCCGACCCGGCCCGAATCCATCCCTACCACCACCACTACAACCACTACTACTACTACCACCAGTACTACCGCTGCCACTGCCACTGCTACTACTACTACTACTACGGGTGCTACTGGGTCGAATAGGAGTTTTTATGATGCGAGTCTAAAAAATGTTAATCACAAGGGTGAATATTAAAATTACATCTATATGTTAAGTAAATCATTGTCAATTTTTTAACTCGTATTCATGATATAGGATGATTACATTACAAATGATTGTATCCCTACTGGATCGAATAGGGGATTTTATGATACGGGTCTAAAAAATGTGAATCACAAGTATGCATATTAAAATTTCATCTATATATTAAGTAACTCGTGGTCTATTTCACAATCATGTTCATGATATATGCTAATTGCATTTCATAATATTGTATCCTTACTAGGTCGAATTGGGGTTTTAATGATCCGGTTCTACAAAATGTGAATCACAAGTGTTAATATTAAATTGTCATCTCTATATTAAGAAACTCATGGTCAATTTCACAACTCATGTTCATGATATAGGCTGATTGCATAAACTTTGAATGATTGTTTCCTTATTGGGTAAAATTGGAGGTTTTATAATCTCACACATAAAGTATTGAATTTTGGGTCACTTTATTTTTGTACAGATATGATTGGATAGAATATTCAATTTTGATTGAATTATATATGATAAAATTTTATCTCATTCATTTTATCTGATTGAACTTATCTAATTAAATTTTATCTGATTATCAATTTTATATAATAAATACTTCTAACGTTATGGTTTACATAAAGGGGTATTTTGAGTTTGCACCCCACTTTATTGTCGAAATTAGACTTGGCACCCCATTTTTGAAATCTTTAGTATTTGCACCCCAATCCTGTATGAAAAGACTAAAATATCCCTCATTTAACAATTTTGTTGGCCTTCAACATATTTTTGATCGAGAGGCATTTTTGTCTTTTCATACGGGGTTGGGGTGCAAATACTAAAGATTTCAAAAACGGGGTGCAAAGTCTAATTTCGACAATAAAGTGGGGTGCAAACTCAAAATACCCCTTACATAAAACAAAATTTATCTCGAATATAAAATTTCTTAAAATAAAAATTTAATTTATAAAATTTAATTTATCAAATTTCTTAAAATAAAACAAAATATATGTATTTTCAAATATAGAATTTTTAAACAACATCCCTAGTCGGATGGGGGCTATCCGACAGTTTTTTTTTTCTTGTTTTTATTTATTTTTTATTTCTTCTGATTACACATTATTGAACATCAAAAAATTTCAAACACCCTGGTCGGATTACACAGTTCCGATTAGGTTTTATTTATTTTTTATTTTTTTAATTCATTGGGATTAAACAAATAATGGAAACAAAAAAATTTCAAACCCCTAGTCGGATTCCACAATTCCGACTAGGCATTTATTTATTTTTGTCGATACTCTACACCCTAATTCGGAAGCCCTCCCTAGTCGGATTTGCCAAATTGCAAGTCCCGCAATTTGGATTGTCGGACGGGAAAATCCCGTATTTTGGTAATTTCCTCAATAAAATCCAGTCTGGTAAGTGGACATGGGGGTGGATAGGCTGGAACAGTCACAGTCATGAATTTATCCTGCAGGCACGGTGTCGAACTTTAAAGGCCGTATGGTCGGTAGTGGAAGCGGAACTTTGGGGGTAAGGGAAGCCATTGTTTGGGCAAAGCAGAATGGGTAGAAGATCAGACATTAAACTTTTATTGGAAGAGGAAACGAGTTTTCCAGTTCAATGGTGTAGAAGATGAGTGAATCAAGCAGCTCATATCCTTGCAAAAGCGGCTTCTTCTATGATTGATTGTAAGCCAATTGGCAAACAATCTTTTAATCTAAATTTTGGTAATCAATTTACCATAAAAATGGTTTCAGAACTATATGAATGCAAACACGTTTCTTCTATAATATTTTAGTCTCATCCGTTTGATATATAAAGAGAGATCTATTTATAAAATTGACTAAATAAAAACAGTTATCATCTACTTTGTATTCACATTTAATGGAGTATTACTAAATTACATTGAAATCTCTAAACCGATGAATATAAATAAGGTAGATTCTATGGTACCCATAAGGTACCATAACTTTGTCCCCATGGACCAATGAAAGTGTTGCAGTTGAATGGTAGGTACGGTACCCCATTTTTTAAATGGGTACCGGAGTTGTCACCTATAAATAATACTTTTGTATTGATAAGGAATAAAATATACTTGTATTAGACGATGCTTTTTAAGTGAATTGTTATCACGTGCATGTCATGTGCAACTTACTTATACTATATATAAATCATTTTTTATTATTCTAGCCCCATAATTTGTTTTCAAATTTGATTTTCTCAGTGTACATGACGAAAGACAAACAAAACATTAATTAGTTGCATGGTTGAAAAGAAGATAAAAATTGCATGTATGGAAAACAGGAAAAGGTTTACATGAACATAGACAAAACAACATGATCGCTGTGGGAAAATAACTTTTTTTATTATACAACAATGTTTAGACAATATCGATGAGATGACACACTTATCCAACACCATTGTACCTATAGAAGCTCCAGGCTGAAATAGAAAAGATGGGGTACTCCTGCCAGCAAATGAAGAAACATCCATCTCTATCTTTGATGTTGTACCCAATATGGTTATTTTGATCTAGTAATAACCTATTCCCATGCATCATCACCGTATAGCTCAAACGCTCCCTCCTGAATCCACAGAGCTGGAGCCTAGCAATCCATTTATCCAGCTTCTCGTGCCTCTCCTTCCTCTCGACACCCTCACAAGAAACAATGTTCTTGATTTCCTCCCCGAAAAGCAACTGCTCCACCTTCTGGCGCTCAACGGAAGCTCGTGGAATGGTGGACTCCATGCAGTCAAAGAGAGCCGCATAGTAGTTTAGAGCTTGGATTGACCTCTCTTCGAGAAGAAGCCCATTGTGGTCAGAATCTTTCTCGGTGATCACCATGATTTTCGGGGACAGGCCCCGCAAAGCGCTCAAGAAAGTGATGATCTTTGGTGAAGAAGAAAGCGCGGTGGAGTGAAGAGTGGAAGTAGTTGTGGGGGCCACCGGAGTCAGGTTACAATCGAATGCCAAGAGGCGGTGAAGCTGAAGCACGGAACAAATGGCGAGAGCTTCCCCCATCTTCACATGAAGATTCTCGATCTCCAGATCCTCTAGTTTACTCACAATAGGGTTAAACTGGAAAGGGATATCCAGTTTCTCAGCTTCTGCATTAAGTTGTCGAGCAATTTTTTCCAAAACCACTCTATTCTCGTGAACACCTGTTTTGAATTGAAATACTAAATTCATCCAACATTATAAAAACAACAATCGTATTGGCACAAATATGGCACGGATAATAACATAACTTTGACATAGCTCGTGACAAAACAGCATTGACACGGAATTGACGAATTCGTGTCAAATCCTCTGTGAATTTTGGCAAATCTGTGCCAATGATCCTGCCAATTCCGTCATTTTTTTGTAGTGCAACAACACATGTGCCAATAATTTTATACTTGAATGAATATATACTTTTAATTATTTAAACATCACTATCTCAATTGGAAATAATATCTATCCTAATATTTTTTCTTGTTGTCACTTTTTCGTTGTTCAGAATTTATCCTAATAATTTTTTAATCATAATTGCAATATATATATATATATGTATGTATGCATGCATGCATGCACTACGTAGTAGTACACGGTATGTATTTTTTATGCATGTAAAAGTTGAGGGAGTGGGGGATGGGAGTATTTATAAGAATGTATTCTACTTTTTTTCATGAGATTTCCAATTTCGGTCCCGAAGCTTTAGATTGTTTTCACTATTAGTCGTTTAACTATATTTGCTTACAATTTTTTTCCTACAATTAATGAATTTATGTAATTTAAGGACTTTTCCACATACACTTTTAATTTTATCAAAAAATACCGTAAAAGACGCCGTGTGCCTTTAATTCTCTACTCGATGCAAATTTTCATGTGAAAAGTAGAGCTAGATACAAATTTTCATAAATATGAATGTACGGAGTAATAAACATGCACATTTCTTCTATGATGGATTCGGTATGCATGTCATCCGTTTAATATATAAGAGATATCTATTTATAAAATTGACTAAATTAAAAATAAGTATCATATACTTTGTATGAATATTTAATGGTTGAGAGTATTACTAAATGTACTTTGAAATCTTTATTATAATGAATATATATAATATATTGACACGGATATAACAAAGTCTATATAGTTTTCAAATATTTCCATTATGTTTTATAAAATATTGAATATAAAATTAACTTTATAGTATAAATAAGATTAAACGAAAATATAATATTGTTAATTGTATATATATATATTTTTGCTGTATAATATTTAAATAAAAAAACGGAAAAGTTAACACCGTTAGTCTTTGGTTTATTTTTGTGAAGCATTTATTTAGTTGGGTTTATTGTTGTGAACTTTTCCAATAAGAATTATTTTTGTAAAATGCGTAAAATAGAGATTAACATGTCAATTTCACCTAAATTCATCACATCGAACTAATTCGACTCTTTCATCCATAAATTTAGAAATTAGATTTTAAGATAGCCTCAATATTAAACCCTAAGGTAGGGCCGTAGGAGTCAAGAAGTTCATTTCTTG